ACGGAAACGGAAACGGATCACCTGTGCGGGCATGCGCCCGGGCCCCTGAAGAGCGAGGCGGGTGAGGCCATGGCCTCGCATGAGAAGCTGCGCGCGTCGGGGTCTGCTCAGGGCAATGCGCACTTCAGGAGCTGATTTCCCGACAGTCCCCACTCATCCGTTTTCTCGTGATGTAGCCACGTCGTCTCGTTGAAATCGTGCTTCTTGTGGTGTGAGACTGTCGGAGAAACCCGTGGGTGTCATCGCAACTCCGCGGCGACCAGCAGCAATCTGGGTCCCCCGGCGTCGCGCTTCGCGGCCCCGCTCGGCCCAGAGCGCAGGGCGCGGTGATCTTGGCGCCCTCGCGTAGCACCAGGGAGGAGGGCAGCTCTCCAGCAGAAGAGGCAAAGACCTCGAAGCACGGATCGCGCCCACCTTCGAGCCCTCGCCATGCCCCCTGCATGAATAGCAGCTCCTCGTCCACGGCCGCGAAGCGCGAAGCGCGGATGTCGGAGCAGGGGTTAGGTCGGGCATGTCCCCCTACAAGCGGATCTTAGACGAGAAATAAAAGATTATAAAAGAACTAAAATGATCAGACACAGCAGGCAGATCGTCCCCAAGCTGTTTCTTGTTGGCTATCTCTGAATACCCCTCCTGCAGAGGGGCACGCCCGATCTGAGCGCAGGCAGGACCCCTGGACACAGCGGCCGCTCAGACTCTCGGGAGCGGCAAAGAGGGGGGTGTCCAAGAGGGGGGGGTGCAAATCATGACCGGCGGCATGTGCGCGGCCCAGCGGGGGGGCCAGGGACGTAATGAAATAAGAAGAGGCGCTATAACATCTGGGGAAATACCATGGCCCCCGCCATGATATCCACCCCCCCCTAGTCATCACCCCCCTCTTTTCCGCCCCCGAGACTCGGCCCCTGCTCGGACCCCTCCCGGGCTCCGCGCGGAGATCTGTTCTCTTCCCGGGCCGCGCCCGGCCGTGGCGACGCGGGCCCCCCCCCCCGAAGGCCAACTACATGGCTGTCTCCGCTGGCCCTCCTCCGGCGGCGTCCTCGTGCCCCCGCGGGTGGGAGGAGGGAGGAGGAGGAGGAGGAGGAGGAGGAGGAGGAGGAGGAGGAGGAGGAGGAGGAGGAGGAGGAGGAGGAAGAGGAGGAGGAGGAGGAGAGGAGGAGGAGGAGGAGGAGGAGTGGGAGAGGGATAGGGGGAGAAGGAGGAGGAGGAGGAGGAGGAGGAGGAGGAGGAGGAGGAGAGGGAAGGGGGACACGCGCAACGACCCTGGGGGAACCCACGAAAGTTGCACACACGTCGGTTGGAACGAGTAGGTAAAAACATGAAGTAGGAGAAGGCGGATTCAGTTGATTGGGTCCAGGCCCCCCCAGGGAATGACCAAACACAGCAAGAGCGCGTCGGTTCTTGAAGCAGGAAGGCGCTTGAAGCTGATTGAGATCTGGGAATCCACAAATTCCTACTTTCAACGACCGGCGTGTACGTTCTCGGAGGCCCCAGCAGATTTCTTGGGCCTGCGCGCTGAACCCCCCCTTCCCTGGCGCGCAGGGCCGGCGCCGGAGGCGCCGCTAGGGGGACCCAGCGCAAACCAAGGAAATCCTCGCGGACCGTCGAGAAACTGTGGCTATGCGGCTTTGTTTCGTCTTCGCGACTCCGCTCGCAGAGGCCTCCTGGGTGGGGTCCTAGCAGGTGGGGTCGGAGGATCGCGCCGCATCGGCGACGTCGGCGATGCATCGGCGCCATCGGCTTGGAGAAAGTCGGGCTCTACATCGAGCCGCATCGGCGATGCATCGGTGGCGCGGCGCGTTCCTCCGACCCCAGCTCCTCGGACCCCACTTGGGAGGCCTACGGTCGGGAGCTGCTGGATAGCGCGTCGCCGCCGCGGCCCGGGCGACGCGCGATGCCTTGCAAGCGGATAGCGTGTCGCTCCGCGCCGCGGCGCGGGAGGCTCGGGACAGCTCGGGACGCTGGCGCTGGGGGGCGGGGAAGTGCATAGACCGTCGCGCCGAAGCGTGGTGGACCACAACCAGCGGAGCGACACGCTAAGCCAAAGCCAAAGCTCATGGCCGTAGAGTTCGTTGGCGCGACTGCTCCCGCATGCCGAGCGCTCGCGCGTTGAATCGCGAGGTCTGCCGGCAGCGGCTCGGCCGGGCTCCTCCGCGCTCGCCCTCAGCGCCTCGTCCGAGGGCTTCGCGCTCTGGCAGGCGTCCGTGTCCGGGGGAATGAACATGCCTTGGGCAGGGGGAGGCAGAAGAAGGAGGGAGGAAGGAGCAGTTGGGGCCCCTGCGCAGCACAGCGTGCGGGGACGAGATAGATGAGGGAGGGAGGAGAGCGAGGCATCAAGCAGCCAATGGATGCAAACCACGGTTGCCCGATGCGTGTGCTGTAGCCAGTCCCAGGTGGCCCTGTATAGCTGGGAAGCTGACCTTGCGGGATTCTGGCCAAATGGCTCGGACGACATCCAGCGACATGCTGGCGTCCGTCCACGGTGGCTGTTGCCCGCAGAGATGGCAGAAATACACGTCAGATAGATCCCAGACACGAGACGAGAAGAATCACACAGAGGGCGAGGCGGCACGCCTCCACGAACCATGGGACCGGAACAGCATCTCTGGGCCACGTCTGGGCGCCGTCGGAGCAGCAGTCCGACGCGCAGAGTGCGAGAAGATTGCCCCACATGGAAGACCGTCCACATCGGGAGCAACGAGAATGGCTCCCGCACTGGGAGACAGAATGGGCGCTGGCACCGGCGCCCGTCTCTCTCGGTGCACCGTCGGGCCCACTCGGGGGGCCCGAAGAGCGCCCTTGGCCTCGCTCGGGTCGGCCGCGGCCGAATCCACCAGGACCTGCGCAGCGATACTCCGATAGGCGGCGCGCCTGGGGGGAGGTGAGGCGGGGCTTACCAGCCTGGAACATATCCCTATCCCTATGCTGGGCATCGCCCCATCACGATGCTAATGTTAGGGATTCCCTCAGTTTTTGAGGGCGCATCCCTAAGATTGCCATCGTCTTTCGGCGTGTCAATCTTAGGGATAGGGATAAGTTCGAGGCTGGTGAGGGGCGGCCCTTCTCAGAAGGCTTGGAAGCCCCCTGGCCTGCTGCAGCACTGTCTGAGCCTCCCCCGGGAGAGACACAGAGAAAACCTCTCGGGAGGCGCGGGGGCCTCTATGAGAGAAGGCCCGCTCCGCCCCCCGAGGAGGCCTTCCTCCCTCTCGCTGCCCGAGGAGCTCCCTAGGGGGCCACGAAACGTGTGAGGGGCGTGCCGAAATGGGTGTGGGGGACGCATGCGGGCGGTGGCACTGGGGCCTTCCCGTGGAGCTCCCCATGGGGCCACGAAGCGTGTGAGGGGTGTACCGAAATGGGTGTGGGGGACGCATGCGGGGGGTGGCACTGGGGCCTTCCCGTGGAGCTCCCCATGGGGCCACGAAGCGTGTGAGGGGCGTGCCGAAATGGGTGTGGGGGGCGCATGCGGGGGGTGGCACTGTGGCCTTCCCGTGGAGCTCCCCATGGGGCCACGAAGCGTGTGAGGGGCGTGCCGAAATGGGCGTGGGGGGGGGCGCATGCGGGCGGTGGCACTGGGGCCCCTCGCGCGCCGCGGAGCCGAGCCAGGGCGGCGGTGGCATCCCAAAGATCTGTGGGAAGGGGCAGGCGGTGCCGTTGCTGGTGCCGTGCCGAAATAAAGCTGTCGGAGCTCTAGACACAGGTGCAGGATAATGAATGCAGCTCAAAGCCACCAAGTCTTTGCACGAGCTTTTTCCTGGCGGCAATGCTGCTGCTCACGTGCTCGACTTGACTGCGGGCTGGCATGCAGCACTGCGTAAAGAAAGCAGCCACACATTCTGTCGCTACAGCCTACGTGTAACCACTCCAGAATGGCCGCAATAAAAGAGGTGGTCTGTGCAGTCAGCAGCGTCCTACGGTGCACGTGGAGGTGCAACAAGGTACAGCATGAAGGCACTCACCTGCGCACATCAAAGTATTCACGCAGCGTAGTAACACCAGCTGCAAGCGACTAGTGTCCCTAAAAACTCACCGCTACGATACCCGAACCCCCTTCAAGCGGAGCAGCGTCGCCGTGCCGGTTGCCCACTGTATGGGCAGCGAGGGAGGGAGCCAGGAAAGAGGACCAGGTCCGCCCACAGCGCGGGAGCAGGACTCAGAGAGCATGCATGTGCACACGCGCCGCGCGATTGCCTGCCGCTCATCGGGGCGGCATGTTTGCAGGGGCGACTCCATGGCAGGCTCAGCGCCCGCTGCGCAGCCGGGGCATGTTGAAGCATCGGCCGCGCCGCGCACTGTGCCCTGGACGCTGCACACCGTTGGGCAGCCAAGTCTGCGTCGGGAGGGAAGGCGAGGGAGGGAAGGAACAGCAGGCTCGTCAGAGGAAGAGCCGCAAGAGGCACGCGTCAGGAGTGAGCGCAGATGCTGCTGCCAAAGTGGGTTTCGTGCTTGCGTCCGAGAGGGCTGGCGCGCACAAGAAAAGCCTCTGGGTATGCGAGCCGCTCGGCTGGCTGCAGGCAACGACCCAGATTGACATGCACGAGGGTGAGCTGAGCTGAGAAGGTTGTGGCTGCTCTTTGGCGAGGTCCACCACCTTCTACGGGCAAGACGCGAAAGCCACAAGAGAGCTGGAACACGTCAGCGCGGCTGGCAGTGAAGCAGTCGGGGAACAGTAAAGCAGTCGGGGAACATCAATCACTCCAGGCATCCACGTCGCGGCCGCCGAGAAGCAGCAGCATGAGCCTCGCGTTAGGGTGGCCAAGGTCAATGAAAGACGGACCCTTGGTCAGCGTAGCTGGCGCATCCGTAACGGACTCCGAGTCCAGCGAAGAGCGGCCGCTTGAGGAATCACTGGTTGACATCTCCTCGTCTTAGCCGCCCCGGTACGCAACACGCAACCCGTAGCGTGTTGACACGGAACTCAACACTTTCGACGCAATACGTTCGCCAGAACGTGGGCCAACACGCTGAGCCAACACGCAGCGTGTCAACACGGACGTTGTGAACACAGCAGGTTTTGCATTTCGCAACGTGCGTATCTAGAGGCCTCCTAGATGGGGTCCGAGCAAGTGGGGTCACAGGATCGCGCCGCATCGATCACCGATGCATCACCAATGCATCGGCGATGCCACGGCGACGTCGCCGATGCATTGGCGACGTCAGCGTGAAGAACATCGGCCTGCACATCGAGTTGTATCCTCGATGCATCGGCGATGCGGCGCGATCCACCGACCCCATCTACTCCGACCCCATCTAGGAAGCCTAGAGTTAGGTCGGGCAGGTCCTCCTACAGTCGGGTTTTTGCCGAAACATAAAGGATAGCCAAAGAATGCTCAAAAGTGTTCTCAAAGAGATTCGAAACGTCGCCCCCAGACTGTGGTTTGCCTCTCCTCGAGCATTCCTCCTGTCGAGGGGGCGTGCCCGGCTTAAGCCTGGAGTACCGGGGCGGCTGAGCTCCTCGTCGCTGCCGCTGCCGCAGGTCCGAGGCTCCTCCGGCGCCGCCGCCGTCGGTGAGGCCGCCCCGCCCTCCGCCGCGGCGGGCGAGCCCCCGCGCAGCTTCCGCGGGCCCGGGGGCGCAAGCCCCGCCGGCCGCGGCGCCTCGGCGGCCGCCGCGCGCTCGGCGGCCTCGTCGACCTGAGACGCAGCCAGGACGAGGACAGAACCGCGTAAGGGGCCACATGCGAACCCCACCCCTGCCCCCCACGGTTTCTGAGGGGGAGAGGGTGGGGTTCCCTTCGCTGGGGCCCGAGCTCCCGGGCCAAGCGAACCCCGCCCTCTCCCCCTCAGAAACCGTGGGGGGTAGGGGTGGGGTTCGCATGTGGCCCCCTAACCGGGTGAGGGTGCAGTTGCGAGGCGGGGGTTTGTCCATATCCACCGCCTGGGAACTGACGTCCTGGTGCCGCGATGGATACATTGATGTATCTTAGCCCCCGGGGGCCCTAGTGTATCCATATCCACCGCCTGCCGAGTTCCCCGAAAATTGATCCTCCAGGCGGTGGTCATGTATAAGTTCCAACCTCGGAACAGTGGAGGCCAGTCCACAAGCAGCCTTCCACAAGAAACCCAACCCTGAGGCCCCAGGACGTCCTGGGCTTTTGGCGCGGGCACGGCCTTCCACAGCAGAGCCATCGAAAGCCAAGAACCTCAGGGCAACCTGGAGGCAAGCAGGGTGTTTCTTGGCATGGGCCTCCACTGACAAAATCGGGTGAGGGTAAATCTAGGGGATCGAAGAATGACACAAACATAAAAACTCGGAGGTCCGCGCGGATTTCTCGGATCGGCGCTGGACCCCCCTCCCTGGCGCGCTCCGCGCGCCAGGGGCGGCGCCAGAGGCGCCACCAGTGGGGTCCAGCGCCGATCCGAGAAATCAGCGCGGACCCCTGAGTGTTCATGTTTCTGTCATTTCCCGTTCCCCTAAAATCGAGAATCTCGGAGAACCCGCCACTCTGGAGGATGTCTCGGGCGCCGCGGCCTCCTCAGAGCGTTGCGGAGCGCTCTGAGAGAGCGCTCGGGAGCGCTCTATATAGAGCGGACTCGTCCTCGTCCCGGCCCCGCCCGGCGACCTCCGCAGGGAGAGACGGCGGCCTGAGTCGGCCACACGCAAGAGCGACCCCGGGCAAGCGTGGCCTCTATAGCTGGTGCGCGCCCTGCGGGGGGGGGGCGCGGGGAGGCCAAACCTCGGCGCGCAGGCCGCTGCCACCGCGCCGCCTGCAGCCACCTGGGAGCCCCGGCGTGCCCGCCCCGAAGGCCACTCCGGCGAGAGGTCGCTGCATGGGGAAACCAGGAGGTACCGATACCGCTCCTCCGCGGGGGGCTCTCCCGGGGTGCGGCGTTCGGACTGGGACTCCGAGGAGCGAATCCGGCGGTGGCGACGAGAGCCTCCCATGGGAGGCCCAAAGATCGGGAGCGGCCAAGAGGGGGGTGTCCAAGAGGGGGGGGTGCAAATCATGACTGGCGGCATGTACGCGACCCAGCAGGGGGACCAGGAACGTAATGCAGCAAGAAGAGGCGCCATGAAATCTGGAGAGATCTCATGGCCCCTGCCGTGACATCCACCCCCCCTATGGTCATCACCCCCTCTTTGCCGACCCCGAAGACAGGGGAAAGCGCGGGAAGGGTACTAGACGTATGGGTAATACCAGAGATCCGATGTCGTGATTTTTTCCATACGGGGTCCCCGGCAGTCTCGACGCATTCCCCATGGACCAGTTTTTCGTCCTGAATCGTTGTTTGACGGTCCCGGCGCCCGGCGAGGGCCCCTGGGGGCCGAAACTAGCGAAAAACCTCCGTCTTGATTTTTTCAATACGTTGGATCTGTGGGTATGGGTAATTGCCCTCTTCCCCCGCGGAGCTCCTGCGTGTGGCTGGCCTGGGGCCCAGCAGCTCCCGGGGCGCCGCCGGGGCGCCGCAGCCGTCGGGGGGGGGGCCCGCGGCGTGCGCCGAGGGCGCGCCCGGCGGCCCCGGGGCCGCGGCCGGGCTGCCGGGGCGGCGGGCGCTGCGAGACGCCATGCGGCGGGCCGGGGGCTGCCGCCGGAGCGTGCACACTGCTTGCGCTTGGGCTGGGCCGGCCGGGAGCGGTGGGGCCAGCTCGGATACCGAGTCGACTCGGTCGATTCCTCCTGCTCCTGCTCCTGCTCCTCCTGCTCCTGGTCCTGCTCCTGGTCCTGCTCCTGCTCCTCCTCCTCCTGCTCCTCCTGCGCCTCCTCCTCCTCCTCCTCCTCCCTCCTCCCCCCTCCTCCTCCCCCTTTCCTCCTCCCTTTCCTCCTCCTCCTCCTCCTTCCTCCTCCTCCTCCTCCTCCTCCTGCTCCTCCTCCTCCTCCTCCTCCTCCTCCTTCTCCTCCTCCTCCTCCTCCTCCTCCTCCTGAAACTCCTCCCCTTCCTCCTCCTCCTCCTAGGCTGGCTGGGGAGGCCGAGGAAGACGGCAGGATCAATCAGCATCGATTCGGCCATATCGGATTGAACCGACATCGAGATCGGATCGCCTCGGCTACGCCAGGATGCACAGCAGCGCCCATGCAGGCATCGGGCCGCGTCGGGCCGTCGGCACATCGGAGTGGACTCGGATCGGGCCGGCCAGCATCGGCATCGAGTCCCAGACGTGCGACGTCCTGATTTTTCCGGGACGGCGTCCCCGACATGCGACGTCGAATCCCAGACATGCGACGTCGAATCCCAGACATGCGACGTCGAATCCCAGACATGCGACGTCGAATCCCAGACATGCGAGGTCCCGACCCTTTTCCCAGGACCGGCTTTTCGTCCCGAGTATGTTTTGACGGCCCTGGGGCCCGGCGAGGGCCCCCCCAGGGCCCGAAAATAGCGAAAAGCCTTGCGTGCTGATCTGTTGTACGACGCGAGCAGGTCTGGGATCGGATCGACCGGATCGACATGGACCCGGAGACGGGCAGGGAAGGGGGCATCCGGGAGCCTCCCAGGCGCTCTCGGGAACTCCTCCCCGGCTGCGCCCGCTCCTGCAGCGAAGGCAGGTCTCGTGCAGGGCTCCTGCGGCGTGGCACGGCGGCATGGACTCCTACGACAGCTCGGGAGCCCTTGCGGCTCCTGGACGGTGCAGGAAGGCACGAGTCGCGCCCGCGTTTACTCCGAGTTTCTTAATAAGCGTCGGGAGGGGGTCACCCCCGCCGACAGCCCTACATCGACCCCCGTCGCGGGTAGCCACCGCGCGCCGAAGGCGCTCCGACCCCCGTCGCGGCGCGACGACGAGGCGAGGTTGACCCCCGTCGGGGGAGTAATCCCCCACGCGTATTAAGGAACCCAGAGTACCCTTGCCCGGCATACAGGCGGAGAGATCAGACCTTGAACTAGCGTATCTCCTCGTTTTAATGGCCAGCAGGTCCCTCATTTTGCCTGACCCCCCGTTTCGGACACCTGACCCGCAGACCCTCCCAGCGAACCCCATGAATGCTCCTAGAGTTCATTAACATGTCCAAGCAGCTCCGCCCACCTGCTCATCTCCCAGCGCAGCCTCCCAGGATCCCCCCCCCTCACGGAAACGCTCTCAAATACCCAGGCCCTCACCCGAAAGACTGACCTCGCGGCTGGGCTGCACGGTGAGGGCACTGGACCCAGGACCTGGAAGCCAGAGGAACTCCGATAGTGCATTGGGCCCTGGATATCAGTGCCGCCCATACTAGCGAAGAAGCCCTCCAGGGTCTAAAGCCTCCCAGGCACAGCCCTCCGCCGTACACTCGAAGCCGCCTGCGGCGCGCTGCTCCCAGTGCGTGACCTGCGCCACTCCTTCTGGCTACCTCCCGCGCCGGACTCGGCCTCGGCAGCTCCCGGTAGGCTCACTTGCGATCGCGCTCGCGCTCGCGCTCAGCGCCGAAAGGCTGCCCCGTGAGGATATGCGCGGTACTTACCTCCTCGACGCGGGCGGCACTCGGAGGGGCGAGAGAGCGAGGAGAGAGCGAGGAAGACAGCAACTGTAGCCCACGACCCCTGTGGGGGCCTGCCCTCTGGTCGAGGGCCCCGCGCGCTCCCCCCCCCACAAAAAAATAAAGACACGAGCGCCCGCTCTCCGACACGCCGAGGGCGACGACGGGGGCGAAGAGGCCAGGGGAGAGCAGTACGTGCACCAAGGGGCGCCGATGGTGCCTGCCTTCGGCGAGGCTCCTCGGCGGATGCGTGCGTGTGCTGCCCTCCCCTGGGCTGCCCGCCCCCGTCGTCGCCTTCGAGAGCTGGCCTCCTCCTCCTCCTCCTCCTCCTCCTCCTCCTCCTCCTCCTGCTCCTGGTCCTCCTCCTCCTCCTCCTCCTCCTCCTCCTCCTCCTCCTCCTCCTCCTCCGCCTCCTCCTCCTCCTCCTCCTCCTCCTCCTCCTCCTCCCCTCCTCCCCTCCTCCTCCTCTTCCGCCTCCCCCCCTCCCTCCCTCCTCCTCCTCCTCCTCCTCCTCCTCCTCCTCCTCCTCCTCTCCTCCTCCTCCTCCTCCTCCTCCTCCTCCTCCTCCTCCTCCTCCTCCTCCTCCTCCTCCTCCTCCCTCCTGCGCACGCTGCACCCGCTGCAGGCCCCTGCCCCCTGCCAGAGGGCGCGGGCGTCACCCCACCGACGGTTGCGGGGGCCCCTAGGGACTACACACAACGCACACACACACACACACACACACACACACACACACCACTAACTAGATCCAGCATCCCGTGACTCCCCGTCGTCTCCCACAGTTGTTGGAGAATTCCTCTGGGGGGGCGTCTCCCCCCCCCCCCTGCTTCCCACAGGTTCCAATCCTCTTCCTGGGCATCGGCGATCATCTCGTGCCTGCATGTGTCCCTTCCCCTCCCGAGACACTACGGCGACCTCCCGCCGCGGCCAGGGACGGCGTGGCACGCGCGGCGTGGACTCGGAGGGCGCTCCCGCGCGAGATCGCACGCGGGAGCCTCACGCGCGAGTGTCGGCGCCGCCGGCCCCGTGCTCGTCCATCGCGCGTCACGGGCGGCGAACCCTGTGCCCTCGTGTTTCCAGACGTGCCGTGCTGGCCTTCCACACTCTTTGCGCTTCGTGAAGCGCCAAATGTTCTTGCGCTCCGTGGGGCTTTCCATAGTTTCAAATGTATGACCTTCCGCGCCTCCCGCAGAGGTCGGAAGGTATGGCAGATGGAGGTGCAGGGAACACATCCATCTCCACGGTCCTCGGAGGAGGGGGAGGAGGAGGAGGAGGAGGAGGAGGAGGAGGAGGAGGAGGAGGGGGAGGAAGAGGAGGAGGAGGAGGAGGAGGAGGAGGAGGAGGTGGAGTGTCTGGACCGCCCTCGCGGTCTGGACTCTGGGGCGCGACCCCGCGGAGGCGCGGTCGCACGGACGCACTCCGCGCGGGCCACTCCGCGGAAGAGCGCCCCCGTATCCGCGGGGGGTCGCGGCCTGGGGGCCTGGCCCGCGAGGGCCCGCGGATAGGTACAGTCATCGGCCTGACCTAAGGAACGATAAATAAGGAACGAAGCTCCTTTCTTCCAAGGAATAACGCATAGGGAACGATGAACAAATAATACATAACGCATGGGGAACGATAAATAACGCATGCAAGCCTAAGGAACGACCGAGCCCCTTTTGAAAAATAAGCGTTCCTTGTTCAAGCCGCTCACTGTAGATGTATTCGCCCACGGGCTCGTCTGTCAGTGCCCTCGCGCTCCCCAGGGGTGCCGGACTGGACGCGAGCTCTGCTCCCTACGTTCCTGACATACCCACCTGCCCTGCCGCGGGTTCGTGTCGTGTCGACCCCGACGCCGGTTCCTGACACCGCGGGGATCGTTCAACCTTGGACGATGTGCCGTTTCCGAAGCGTCAGCTCGTTCAACATCGACCGACTCTGGGTCGCCGGCGCCGTCCGTCACTGAACGCCAGCGGCGGGGTCGCCGTCGGTCGACACGACGCGATCCTATACCTGCCTGCCCTGCTCTTGAACAACAAACAACTGCACGAAAATGAACGTTTGGAGGTCCGCGCGGATTTCGTGGATCCGCGCTGTACTCCCCTGCGCGGCGCGCGGGGCGCGCAAGGGGCGGCGCCGGAGGCGCCGCCAGGGGGCCCCAGTGCGGATCCAAGATATCCGCGCGAGACTCCGAAAGTTTAGACGTTTACGCAAGGGTTTGTTCTGCGATGCTCGCCTTGTGGATTCCATGACAATGGACTCTCCAACAATCCTATCATTGAAATAAAGATGTGTCTAACATGTTTGAATTGTTCTAGACATCTCTAAACACAAAAAGTGTTTACATGTTTAAGACAAGCTTGAAACATACGTTCCAGACATCTGGACATCATTTGGCAGCACGCTTCCTCTCCATGGATCGACTTCCACAGTGCTCGCCCTGCTTCCCTCGGCGATCTTCTGACCCGGGTCAATCCAGACCCGGGTCAGTCAGGCCTTGCAAGACCCTGCAGGATCCTGCAAGACCCTGCGCCCAAACCGGGGTCAATGCGAAGGATCCTGCAGGATCCTGCAGGATCCTGCACCCAAACCCAGGTCAGTGCGACCCTGGCCCCGCAGGATCCTGCAAGATCCGGCGCTCTGGCTGACCCCCGTTTGCATGGACCCCCGCCCCTTGATTCGGACATCCGAAATGGGTACCGAAAGAATGGGCACAATGCCCAACAGCACATGTTGTCCCAAACCAACAGCGGCCGCTGTCGGGCAGGCGGCCTCCTGTCTCGAATGGACACGGGCCGCGGCGGCGTGGACAGCGAATCCTGTTCAGAATGAACAAGAACTGCTGTTGGGCATCGTACCCGTTCTTTCCGTGCCCATCTCGGGCGTCCAGACTGGAGCCCCGATACCCCCCGGAGGGAGGGCATCCCCGGCGGCGGGGCTGCCGTGATCCAGCTGCACGGTGGCGTCGTGGGCCGCCCAGGGCCTCGACAGGCCGAGGCCCTCCAGGAACCTCGGGCACGGCGCGGCAGCGGCAGACGGCACGCCGAGGGGCGAGAGGGGCAGATACTTACGGGAGGAGGAGGAGGAGGAGGAGGAGGAGGAGGAGGAGGAGAGAGAGGAGGAGGAGAGGAGGAGGAG